AAGTTCTGTGCACTAACCCAGAGCTGCATCCTGATTGATTATCCTAGCTGCCGCTCTCTCAAAGGGAGCTCAGATAAAAAAAACAAAACTAACATGTAGAGCAGTATGTAAATATCTGGAACTGTACAACCTGAATCTTGGAACCTCTCCACCTTTACTACTCTCCCCACTCCTGCAGCCTTGAGACAGAGACACAAGGGCTTGTTCAAAGAGGACTAAAAATGCTTTGGCTGTAACTATGTAAGCACCAGGTCCCCAAAGAGAACAACACAGACTGTGCTAAGCAAGCAGCAGCAACAATGCACCCAGAACAGAGGCTTATTTCTCTGGACTGTGCCTGTTCATTTGGAAGTGTTATTCCCCTCTCAGCAGTGCGGTCAAAAAAGTCCTTTAGTCTCCCTGGGGCCCTGTGAAGACTTTTGTGCATTTTGCCTGGCTTCGTTTGTCACCTGTCTGCCTGGGTAACAGTGCCCCCGTTTGGTTAGCAGCGTGTACCGCAGCCCCACTTAAGTCTCAAACTGAGTTGTTGTCAGCTGTTGCACCCTGGGTGAAGTGAGATGTTAGTGTTCCCTGTGAAGCCCAAATGAAGCACAGATATGGAACAACAGTTAGAAACATGTAGATATTGTCAGCCTTGAATACATTCTACCAAACACTCCCCCTGGTACTGCCGCTGTACATGTAGTAGTCAAAATAATTACATTCTAATATTCTGACCCTCTCATGTATGCAGCTTGGGAGGACAAAAATATAGACACACCTCTAAATATAATGCAGTCCAGTACAACACCACCCTTAACTATGACCTCAGTAATAAATACATAACTGAATTTATACAGGTATGACAATTTCACCAAAAACTGAAACATTTTGAGCTTCATAAACACAGATATTAAGGTGGAAGTGTTGCACTGAATTGCATACAATTGTACAGGTGTACCTAATAAAGTGGCTGATGGGTGTATATCTCCGAGTCACATTTGAGGCCCAAATAAACAGGAAAGTAATGGATAAATAGAAAATATTTCCCATGTGAGACATATTGTAGATCTGTTATCTCTTAAAATATTAGCTTACAGATGGTCAGACAGCTATTAACTCCCTTTACAGAAACTGTCAGTACCAGCACATTATTTCCCCTGAACCTACCTAAGCATTGTCAGTCTGCTGCCTCAGATATATTTTCACCTAAAACTGACAGCTCATGTCAGTGTAAGTAATGATTATTTCAGTGTGTTCTAGGCAGACGGTCCGGTTATGGAGTGTTTCAGACATGCAGTTCTGACTGTGCTGCTGCAGTGCCATTTGTACGTGCTGCAGGTTTTTTTTTGTTTTTTTTTCTGCAGGAGATCCCGTTCTACCACATCTGGAACGGCTCCCAGCGGTACCTGCACTGCACATTCACACTGGAGCGGCTCAGCCTCAGCACCTGTGAGCTCACCTGCCAGCTGTGCGTGTGGCAGGTGGAGGGGGAGGGACAGAGCTTTAGCCTCGATTTTAACATTGCCAAGGTAACATTCAGCGTAACTACTCTCACAGAACCAGCAATATATTCTGCAGCTGCAATTACCCTGCATTTTTATTATTCATAGAGGAATTGTTTTTATGATATAAAATGTTGTTTGCTGAAGGTTGTGCTTTATGACTTTTTGTTCTTACCAGGATGCTCGAGCTGTGGACTCCGAGTTTCTGTTACTGGACAGTAATGCCACAGCTCTGGCAGGGCCCAGCGCCTTTCAGATCCCGTACCTCATCAGGCAGAAGATCTGCAGCAGCCTGGATGCCCCCTGTCCCAACGGAGCCGACTGGAGGATGCTAGCACAAAGACTTAAACTTGAGAGGTAAATACCAGCTGTACAATATCATAATGCCTTATCTGATCACTGATCATTGGAGCAGGCCAGAAGCTCTTTTTGAAATGTAGTAGAGCCTCATTTATCATGGAACATGGAGTCACACTAACTGTGAAGAGTCGTATTGATGTAGAAGTGAACATATAACTGTGAAACACCAGTAATTTTTCTCAACTGGTATTAAGTGCATCACCACAGCAGAGATGGCAAAAGTACACACTTTTGTTACTCAAGTAGAAGTACAGATTTAAAAAAAAAAAGACCTATGGTAAAAATTGAAGTATTGATTTAATAAAACTTTCATGAAAGCACTCAGTGCATTCAAAAAGCAATAGGTCTCCACAGCAAAGAGCAAAGATTGTCCCGAGCACTCCCTATTTATAATTCTGCTATCTAGGTATGCGGACATAGTCAAAACATGCAGACATAACGTCCTTCACGCAGAGCACTGTACCTTGCAATCCCGCTGCCATACTCAGCCTAGGAAGAGCCAGACTCTGGCACATCCTGCTAACACAAATACTCAGGGATTTTGACAATAGTTTACCCAATATCAAACATGAAAAGCATCAGTTAACATTACAATTGATTTATGCATGATTTGGTAAAATTTCCATGACAGCCTCACATCATATGAATATATTTCCAAGACTATTAAACCATTCTAACTTCAAATAAAATTTTAAAAAATCCTAAGAATAATTAACATTAACCAACAAGAATAGATTTCAGGTCTAATTAAGCCTTTAAGGATGAGGTTGGTCATTTTCTTTGCTAATAGTCTTTTCAACAGTCTCTATACAGAGAATAAAACCAACCAATAAAACCTACTCACAGTTAATGTCCGTCAGTCTCCAACCTGGATTAGCTTATTCGTTTGTGCAACAGACCTCTCTGTTCTTCTTCAAAAATGAAAACACACTGCTGCGCTGGCTGACATGTTTCTTCATTACAAAACACAAGACCAGTACATTGTCCTGGCTAAGTACAGTAATGAAATATTTGTACTTTGTTACTTCCTACCTCTGCACCACAGTCAAGTGTCTCTTCTAAGGTTAAAATAAACAACGTTCTGCCTTAGCAAACTAATCCTCATTTGAGACAACTAACATTACAGGATTAATAAGGACTTGATGGATACAGCTATCATTTCTGTAAGAAAGCATGACCCCCCCCCCCTTCCTTTTTTCCTCAGGAATAGGTAAGCAGCTTAAAGTCTGCAGCTAAACGTGTGCCTGCTACTTTCTGTTTAACAGCTGTAATTGGAAAGGTAGCAAGCTAGCTGCCCATCAGTGGCAAAAAAAGAAGGAATAGATTTGGCTTTGTGCTGAGCTCAGGCCCATTCCTTCTCACAGTAACTGGCTTTTAACACTGGAGTACCTGTAACAGAAAGTAGCCTCACATTGATCCCGTATCCTCCAGTTTAATTTCTACCATGTAATGAAATCAAATAGATACACTTAATTTGTCCAATCAACTTTATTTACCCCAATTAATCACAAACTGAATTGATGCACTGCAGCTTTAATTAACAATGTTTTGCTCAACATAATCAATCGTCACTTAGGCCTCAGGAAGGAACAACTGCTCTGTTGTTTGATGTGTCCCCAACATCATGTCGCACTCAGAAGGCAGCAGCAGCTCCTTGGCATTCTGTCATGCTGTATTTCTGTGTTTGTTGCTGTGTGCATAAAGCGTTCAGACCAAGCAGAACGGGACCAATCAATAAAACTTAAAATGCCAAGAACCTTTTATTTGATCTTTCTCTCCCCAAGACAGCGCAAATGTCTGTGTCTGAGCCATACAAGATAAGCTCGTGTTTCACACGCCGAGGTGAATAAGCAGGGCTGACGTGTCGGACGCTAAGCTCTGTCTCTTTTATCTGAATAATGACATAGAGGTTCATTCCCAGACTTTTTTTTTTTATTATTTATTTATTTTGACCTGCACTTCTCTTTGTTGTGCTCGCCCGACACAGAGCAGAGGCTTTGTGTGCTCTAAAATCCAGTTGACTCAAAATAGCAGAGTGACAATGTTCTCAGTGTTTATGTACTGACAAAGCAGCCACATATTTATAACCATGACAGAATGCCTCACTAAATAAACAGAAGATACGATGAAGTGATGGACTCAGTCTGACCTTTCTGCAGGTGAAAAGGACCTGGTGGCTTTTGGTGCTTCCTGTCTCACCTCCGCCCCCTCCCCACCCATCAGAAACACTCCCGCTGCAGTTTCCTTTTATGCCAGGAGTTTTACACTGTTCTCTTTCTTTTTAATGTCATGTGTACTCGACTTAACAGTTAGGACCCCCAGACATTTGAAGAACAGGAAAAGGCCATTAAATCAAACAAGCATCTTCAGGTACTGCGGGGATCAGATCTCACTCAACATCAAATATACAGCTGGCTGGGGCCACTGCTTTGTTGTCATTGATTGGGTTTGATCATAAAGGTTCTGCTCCTAAAATGGGAAAAGGTCACTTCCCACTTAACCGTGGAAGTCCATATAGGATTTACTATTTGAGATTTAGGGCCAATTTCAACATCAGATGAAGAGGAATGGGGCTTACGCTGTTAGTCTTCAAATAAAAATTGCCAGAAATTCTGTTTTTGATGGCAGCTTCACGAGCACTAGGCTGCGTTCTTGCAGCTTTGATCATTTTTTTACTTAGTGCTCCAACACGGTGTATCAGGATCCAGCAATATAACACACAATAAAACTTGATATTGGCAGGGGAAGTACAATAAACTACCAGCTGAAGGGTTTTCCTAACACTGTGTTGGTAGAGAGAAATTGAGGGACTATTTTGATATGTGTGCATCACTTAATTTAATAAAAATGTGTTTATTCCCCTCACTGTTGTTTTTGTGTTCTCCTCTCTCCTGCTCTCTGCAGACACATGAGCTTCTTTGCTTCCAAAGCGAGTCCAACCTCTGTGATCCTGGACCTGTGGGAGGCACAGCATTTCCACAGCGGCAACATCAACCAATTGGCCACGGTAATGGCTGACATCGGCAAACAGGAAGCCATGATATTCCTGGTCTCTGATGGAGAGTGCTAACCCAGAAATGGGGGAGAGACTGGTGCAGAGGCAAAGTAC